ACAGAGAATATTGAAAAAAGAATAGAAAAAACTGATGAAAGGGTGGAGAATATTCAACAAATGATGATGAAGTATGATGAAAGATTCCAAAAAATTGAAAAAGATAAACAAAGAGATAAGAAGATTGGAGATATTGATGGCAGATTAATTGTGGTTGAACAAGATAAAAGTGGGATACTGAGATGGGAGATGGACAGATCAGAATTTTATCTCAGATTCCAAAACATAGAGGAAGAAAAGGGACAAAAGATAATGATAGAAATCTTGGCTGAAGCTCTGGAAATAACCAAAGAGAAGATGATGGATGGAATAGACTAGGTTTTTTGAGTCTTCACAAGATATGCAATGAGAAATAGCCTACCAAGAGAAGTTCACATCAATTTTACAAAGAAAGCCATTAAAACGCAAATATTGCAGGTGGTAAGAGAGAAAACATTGGAAGAAGGCGGAGCCTCCTCGCTGGCGGGCAGTAGATTGCAACTCTCTGCGGCTATAGTTCGTGCTCTTTCATCGGAGAGCCCCAATCATTCTGATTAGGGGCTGAAACTGCCTTGGAGGGGCAGCGGAGTAAGAGGAAGCAGCAAGCCTGATTGTGGGGAGCCGCATCTCCCCCCCCCCCTGGGCTTGGTTTTTTTCCTCCTGAAGACGACTGCAGCGGTGGTCTAAAATGGCCATCTCGAAGAGGATGACTCAGCTCGACTAAGATTTGTGCAGGAGGGAAGAAAGAGGTGGATAACATCTGAACCGGGACAACTGGACAATATAACTAAACAAAAGTACCCCGGGACTAAGGTAACATAGAATTTTTAAGAAAAGAAAAGTGAGCGGCAAAATTACAAAGGGACAGAGAAAAAAAAGAAAAATACTTTTGACAGCTAAATGGGGCTTCGAACTGGGAAAGAAAGAAGCTGGAATTAAAGATTTAATGAAATTGGACTAAAATAATTTGGGAATAAACAAGTATAAAACTAAAGCTGGACTTAAGATTGACAAAGAATAATAACAACAAAGTTTACAAATTGGAGACTGGATTGTGTTGGAATATTGAGGTTCGAAAAACCTTAAATAAAAAAATAGGAGGGAAAGGTGAAGACTTTGTATAATGGAGAGTGTCACCTTTTGATAAAAATTTGGTCCAAATAAAAGGGAAAGCATCCTGTTTTTGAATGAACTGGTGTGGATATAACATTACAGAAATATTGAAACAAAGTAAGAATTTTAGAAGTTGAAAGCAGAACCAGAATAAAGGAAAAAGCAAGGAAAGATTGTGGGACTGATTGATGTTTTTGGTATAAACCCTGGACTGGAATAACTGAGAACTTTAAAAAACTGAAAGAAGAAAGAAGGAAAGTAAAAGTGGTTTCTTTTTGTGGACTTTAACGATGATAAAATATAAGAATGATGATATTTCTTTGGGAATTAAAAATGGAACTTAAAAATATGAGAGAATTACTACAGGAAAGAGGCGAATCACTGCTCTGTGCTAGAAAAAATGGAAATGGCGATTGAAGAACAAGAAGAAAGATTCTCAGAGGAGGAGGAATCGACCCAAGGAGAAGACATTTTATATAAACAATTAACACAAAGAATGCTACAAAGAAGTGGGGAAAGAAGGAAGGTTAAAAAGTTGAGTTTTAAGAAAGTAATTAAAAAAGGGAATAGCTGTGAAGTCAGAAAAGGCAGGAAGATTCAGCAGAAAAGGGGAAAGGAAGATTTTAAGAAAGAGAGGGATACAAATTGGAATGAGAAAAGATATGGGGAAAAGAGGGGGAGGAGAAGCAGCAAGAAACAGGCATATGAAAGAAAGAAATACAGAAATAGTAAAATGTTGAAAGGAAATTGTTTCTTTACAACTAAAAGAAGGAATACCTGTGAAGTCAGGAAAGGCAGAAAGACTCAGCAGAAAAGGGGAAAGGAAGATATTAAGAAAGAGAGGGATACAAATTGCAATGAGAAAAGATATGGGGAAAAGAGGGGGAGGAGAAGCAGTAAGAAACAGGCATGTGAAAGAAAGAAACACAGAACTAGTAAAATGTTGAAAAGAAATTGCTTTTTCAGAGATAATGGTTGATGAATTAAAAAGGGGATTCCACAGGGTGACAAGGGGTAATAAGAATATTTCTGCAATTAAAATATTTAGAAAATAGGGTAATATAGATACTGATAACTCTTATTAAAGGGGGGGGGGTATGCTGTGGAATCCAATTGAAAAGATGTACTGATTAATGGTTTATTGGGAATTAAGATGGGGGAATAAAGGTATATTCTAATCATTAAGGTGCCACACTCTAAATAGTAAAAGAGGGGAAACTTATATTTGTTATTTTTTCTTTTTGTGTGGGTGTGTTAAAATTTGTATTAATTTAGAATTCAAAAAAAATGTGTAATGGAAAGGGAATATGACAGACTAAAGAACCAGCTAAATTAATAAATTTAATATAGATTATTAAAAGCAAGGAGAGACATTGGTAACTTCATTATTACTACTATTAGGCAAATATATGTTGTTTATTTTTATTTTTAAAATAAATATTAAGGATTATATTTGAAATAATTGAAATGAAATAAAAAGATGTTTAGATTGAGATTAATGAAAGAATTTAGAATTAAACTTTATTATTATTATTATTATTATTATTATTATTATTATGAAAACACATATTGTTTATCTTTATGTTTAAAAACAAATACCAAAGGATTATATTTGAAATAATTGAAATGAAACAAAATCAATTGAGATTAATGAAAGAGGCCAGAATTAATGTGTTTGTTTTTCTCCTTACTGAAAATTTGGAATGGAAAAGGCAATAATAGAATTAAGTATGCATATATTAATGTATAATTGCTGTCATATTTGTATGTAAAGATGATGACCCGGAAATATGTTGTCCACTAAAAAGAGATTTTTGTTTTTAATGTGAAAAACTGAATAAAGTTTGTTTTTAAAAAAAGAGAGAAAACATTGAAATATAAAGATAAGGAGATTGTGATCCTGAAACAAGTGCCCAGAAGAGTGAGAGAGATGAGAAGAGAATACCGATTTCTGACTAAAATTCTACTTAAAAAAGAGGTGAATTATAGATGGTTGATTCCAGAAGGTTTAATGTTTACATGGCAAGAACAGAGACACAGAATTGACTCAATTGAGAAAGCTGAATTATTTTATACAGAATACTTTGGAGGGAAAGAAGAGGAGACAGAAAAAGAAGTGTCACTAATTGAACTCCAAGAGGACTGCCAAATAGCGACTGAAAAAGAAGAAGGTTCAGTAGGCAGAAAGGTGGAAGCTAAAGAACAACGTGAACCAAGATCTACGAGAGCTGCCAAACCTACCTATAAAGTATTACCATGGAAGAGAAAAAAACTGATTACAATTAACATAAACGGACTTAATTCAGCTGTTAAAAGAAGGAAAACTTTCCACAAATTAGAGAAATTAAAATTTGATATAATCTGCCTACAAGAAGTACATATTAAAAAGCAACATGAACAACTGTTGATACAGCCAAAGTTAGGGAAAATATTTATTTCTTTGACACAATGCAATAAAAGAGGAATGGTTTTATACATTAAATATATTATTCCAGCAAAATTGATCCATACAGATGACAATGGAAGATTATTAATGGGTGGAAATAATGGACAATAATATGAAAACACTCCTGATTGCAATCTATGCCCTGAATGACAATCAAGAAAATTTTTATAGAAAATTACATATGAAAATAATTGAAGTGGACTATGCTGATATAGTTATGATGGGAGACTTTAATGGAATTATAGACAATAAATTGGATGATTCAACACAGAAAACAACAAAGCAAAACAGAAAGACTCTCTCCAAATCCTTTTTTAAAATGAGAGATGAAATAAATTTAAAAGATGCATGGAGAGAAAGAAATGCTAAGACTAAACAATACACCTTCTATTCAAACAGACATTTATCATGGTCCAGAATAGATATGATATGGATGTCAACAGAATTGTTCACTAATATCCAAGAAATAAATATTGAAACAAGTACTTGGGCAGATCATAATCCAATGACAATTAAATGGTCTAGTCTGTAGATTTCATCTGGAAATACTTGCCTTTTCCATAACAAGACAAGTTACTCCTCAGAAGTTTCCTTTCAAGACACCTCTGTGTTCTCATTATTTGGCTTTGTTACCATAGCAAGATTTTTTTTTAATTTTATGGGTATATAGCACAAACTTCTATGTCAGACTAGCTTTTGTGAGGGAAACCCCAATGTCTTTTATATCCACCAAAACTGGTCTTCAGAAGTTATGACCTGTGTTTAAATAATTACTTGTGAAATAGATTCATGGATAATAGGATAAGAGATCATTAATAAGAGTTGCTGCCATAGATGGACATTTGTCATATTCCATTCTGATATCAGCAATGATAAGAATATATTTATTGTTTGATTCTTGTCAGAAGAAGTGATATAACAAATATCAGAAGTGATATAACAAATACATTGCTGAAGCAGAGATTATCTGGCTATATGAAAATAGAAAACTAGGTAGTATTCATTTGTGAAATATATTTAAATTCGTGAGTTAGAAAGTGCAACATAAATGAAACAGATTATGTTACAGATTATAGAACAATACCTCATGAGAATTATTTATTTATTTATTTTATTTATTTATTTGATTTGCCAATTGTTTACAAGATAATAAGTATAAGTGTATACATAGTTGTGAATACATGAAATGGGTACATATAAGAAAAATAAAAGAATAAGAGAAACAATAGGACAGGGACGGTAGGCACGATGGTGCGCTTGTTCTTTTGCCCTAATTTACCTGGTTTGTGAGAGAATTCTTATGCCTGATATTTTTCATAAATTTACTAATAAAATAAGATATTTTGTTGCTAAAAGTGAAAAGCCAGCTTTCTTTTAGAAAAATTTCCTTCTGTATGAGCAACAGACATAATATTTTATTAACAGTTTAGCATACAGTCTAATAAACATCCTCTCATTTCAGTTTGGTATTCATCCAATTGAAGATCTCTTCAAAGATTTGCAAGATGGTCGAAAGCTTTTGGAACTCCTGGAAGGTCTTACAGGACAAAAACTTGTATGTGTCTATCTACTACCTCAAATAATTTTGCAATGCTTCTGCATATTATAAAATTCATTGTAAAATTAGCATTTGTGGACCTTGTACTTGTAAATATGCTCTTTACAAACATATGAACATATAAAGAATATATTGCAATTTGTGTAAGTTGCTGATATTTTAAATTTTTATGACATCTTTTTCCTAGCAAATATCCCAAAAGATTTCACATATTGTCCTCCCTTATTAGAAAATTACAGTGACAGCATTTTCCATTACTGTCCTTTTATTACTATATTTCATTGTATAGTGAACAAAAACATGGAGATATCAATTTAAATATGTCTAAAATATTTATATTATTTCTGATTTTCAGATAACTGCATTAAAAACTGCAGTATCAGTGTTTTAATATATAGCATTGGATGATGAAATTTATAAAATATTCTCATTTCAAAGTTCAAATTGATTTCAACTGCCTCTAGTGAACTCTATTGTTATAGCTAAACATATTCATATTCAAAAATAAGGGAGAACAGTTATAGTAGAACCTCTGGTTACGACCATAATTCGTTCCATAACTTTGGTGATTTCTTCATCTACTAATGTTTTGTCTTCAGGAATTTCTGGGTCAGAGGTCATGTTTGATCACCACCCAAGTATGTGTTTGTGACCAGATTCAAAAATTTTGTGTATGTTTTGGTTGGAAACCGATTTGGTCGTGGTCAGAAGCATTAGTGGTTCTACTGTATTTTCATCATTATTTACTGTTACATATCTATCTATCTATCTGTCTGTCTGTCTGTCTATCTATCTATCTCCATTAATTCTACCACCACCCTTTTATCTTCCACACTACATTTTCTGTCTTGATCTGATTCAAAAAAGTAGATTGTCTTGTATGCAGCAAAATGCATAAAATACTAAGAAATACTTTTCATAGATTAAAAATATTTATAAATTGTAAATATAATTAAGATGAACATACAATAAGTTTGTCAGTTTTCCTAAAGCAAATATATACACCTATTTTATTAACATAATGTAGACAGAATTCTCTGTATCTAATCATAATTTGCATAAGTGTGAAAGTATCATTTTTCTCTATTTTTTTCCAATGTCATTCAATAATTTTTATGAAAGGAACTGACAAAATATTTAGTATGATTCCAACTTATAATAGAAGGAATGAAACTGAATTCAGTTTACCACTTCCCTGATTCAATATAGTCACCAATAAATGCAGTAATGAAAATATATTATTAAAATAAGGATTTATACTTTTTTAAGGTTTTGTTTGTTGTTATAAGGATGGTGTAAGCTTTCTGTCATAAACAGAATGATTTTTTTTAAATATTTGAAAATAGCTTTTTATATTCATAGGGGAAAGAAAAGGGCTCCACTAGAGTTCATGCCTTGAACAATGTCAATAAAGCACTACAAATCTTGCAGAAAAATAATGTAAGTAATGATTTACATGAATCCATAGTGTACACAGAGTTTTAAAAATCACAAGGCTGTTTCTGAAATACATTTCACAATGGATAAGATTCAGTATAATCACATGAAATATGGGAGATTGAAACATATGGCCTCAAACTGCAATTACTTCAGGAAATGGTTTTAAAAGCTGTTTATTCTATTTATATTTATAAATATACAGATTTATGTTTCTGTCTTGCTATACATTCCGTAAAATAGTTACTTTTTAATCATGCATATAAATGATGTACTGAAATACATTAGGCATTGTGAAATTATGTCAGAAAGCAGCTGCAGTTTGAAGAGGTTAATGGGCCAATTTCTTATTTGTAACTATCTGAACATTGTGTTTCAAATACCTCTTTGTTTAGTGGGGAACCTGTTATTCACAAACAAGAGAGTATTAGACTTTCATACTTAACTTTCTTCTTATAAAAAGTGGAATCTGAAAAATCTACAATGGTATTGTAAAATTTGAAAAAGAAAACTGAAATAAAAGTAAAGCCTGATAATATTGTTTATTCTTGAGACCAATGTTCCTCTTCACATCAGCATAAAATGAGTATAATGTAGATATATCAGCCTTGTCAGCTTTGTGTCTAGAACTGGTGGGAGGAATAATGTATTAATAGAAAGTCTCAGGAAAATGTTTGTATGATATATGTAGTAAATGACTCCTTGGATGGATAAATAATTTGTCTCTAATGGAGAAATTTTAGTTTCTGATTGATGGGGCAGGAACATCAATGGAAGTGTTAATTATAGGTTAGACAACACCCAGAGATCAAGTAAGAAAATATTTTGGTTAGAATAATTAGTAATAGACCCAGAAATGAAGTATTTGGCAAAAATATCATCTAAGTATATGTGATAAAGTAAAGATATATGGAAACATAATCCTGTTAAGGTAATGTTTGGTGCATAATTGTATGCATGTTATTTGAGTTTTAAAAGTTAATGGTGTGAAAATTAAATGGAAGACTCATATGCAAATGTTATAAGTTGACACTTGTAGAAATATATCAACTCATAGAATCCCACTACTATGACTGATAAATATGAAGGATCTTAGATGAAGTATTCAAATAAAAATATGGTCATTTTTTTCTGGATTGAGAACTTATGCAAAATAATATCTACAAAATCTTTACAAGGGAGATGATATAAAAATAAATATTTTATATTAACCAAAAATTAATGGAATGCCTATGTGTTATTTTTGCTTTTATTATTCCATTTCTTTCCTACATTTTCAGAATGATTGTTACTGGATATTTTTTTAAAATGCATATTATGAAAAGAGCTATAAATATAGTTGTTTCTGCAAGCTCTCTTTCACTATGCTGCCAAAACATTTTATTAAAAAGCATTTAATCATTTAAGTTTATGTTTATTTTGTAGTATATTATACCCTTGCCAATTTCATTTTCCTCTAATAACTTCAAATGTTTGCATTCTGTCAACAAATGGTCAAATATTTGTTATATATTTATTCCTTTCTACAAGCTAAATGGTAGATAAATGTGCAAACACAGAATGGATACATTAAAAAAATATGATGACTTTTAGAAGTCTGATTATATTAATTCAGCAATAATATATTTTGCCATTCACCTGGAAATATAAATCCATTTGCTTCTGGTTTATTACTTTTACTTTGCAAAGAAAAACATTTACATTTCTTAATTTTTATCTTTTATTCTGTTTTGTCTTGTTCTAACAGGTAGATCTGGTAAATATTGGCAGTATAGATATTGTGGATGGAAATCATAAATTGACCCTTGGATTGGTTTGGAGTATAATTCTCCACTGGCAGGTATCAAATGATTGTTTCTGGAAGAGCTGTATGATGTATGAATAATAAACAGAGGATATTAATGTAGCTCTTTATTTATAATTTATAAGTTGGTAAATTTATGTAACTGCCCATTTTATTTCCGTGATGCTGGGTAACTTATACACTAAAAATAAATGTTTTACAGAAACTTGGTGGGATGAAACTCACAAATGGATAGAGGGATTTAAATTATTTAAAAGAAATAGGCCAAATAAAAGAGGAGGTCGCACTATATATAAGAAATAGCTACATCTGTACAGAAATAGAGCAGAACAATGATGAAAATTATCTTGAATACATTTGGGTCAATATTAAAGGGGGGGAAATGACATTGCCATAGGTTTATACTATAGGCCACCCAACTAAACAGAGAAAATAGATGAACTTTTTGCTAGTCAGCTAACTAAGGTATGTAGGAAGCACATCACAATAGTAATGGGGGATTTTAACTAACCTGACATCAAACTCTGCACCATGTGGAAGATCCAACAGGTTCCTAACAAACCTAGCAGACAACTGTTTCCCAAAAAGTAGAGAAGGAAACAAGGGGAGCAGCCATATTGGACTTAATTCTCACTAACAGAGATGAAATGATACAAGGTGTTGAAGTTACAGGAACCTTTTGGGCGAGTGATCATGCAATATGGAATTCCACATTATGCAAGCATAAGCAATAGAACAAAGTCAAACTAGAGTCTTGACTTTAAGAGAGGTAATTTCAATAAACTTAGAGAGCTTGGGAAGGATTCCATGGATGAGAATCGTCAAAGGGAAAACAACTCAAGAAGCTTGAGAAATTTTGAAAAGTGAGATTATAAAATCCCAGTCTAACACAATACCAATGAAGAAGAAAAATAATATCTCTCAAAAGAAACCAGCATGACCTGCATAAAGAACTCACTGACAAATTGAAAGACAAAAAGGACAAGTATAAAAAGTGGAAAGATGGGCAGAATATCAGCAAATAGCCCGAGCCTGCAACGATAAAGTGATGAAAGCTAAGGTTCACAATGAACAAAGGCTTGCAACAAAAGTAAAAAATAACAAAAAAGCTTCTTCCAACACATTAAAAACAAAAAAAAATCAAAGAAGCAATTGCTGGGAGAAAGTGGCAAGAAGGTGACAGACAACAGGGAGAAAGCAGAACCACTTAACTTGTTTTTGCATCTGTCTTTACACAAAGGGAAAAAATAGTGCAATCTATCAAAAACTGCACCACAAAAAACAGATTAGGAACACAAATTAAAATAGGTGAGAAAATGGTAAGTGAGCACCTGTCTACCCTAGATGAGTTCAAATCACCAGGACTAGATGGATTACACCCCAAGATTCTGAAGGAACTGGCAGACGAGATCTCAGAACCATTGTCTTTCAAAGATCCTAGTGTAAGCACCGGGGAACTGTCAGAGGACTAGAAAAGAGTTGATGGAGTCCCCATCTTCAAAAAAGGAAAAAAATAGATCCAGGAAACTACAGACCCATCAGCCTGACCTCAATACCAGGAAAGATTATGGAAAAGATAATTAAACAATGAATCAGCAAACAAAGTAATAACCAAAAGCCAACATGGGTTTGTTAAAAACAGATCATGCCAAACTAATTTTATTGCATTCTTTGATAAAGTGACAAAATTAGTGGACCAGAGGCATGCTGTTGATATAATTTACTTGGACTTCAGTAAGGCATTTGATAAAGTAAACCATAACCTACTACTTGATAAAATAGAAAAATGTGCGTTAGACATTATCACCACCAGATGGACTTGTAACTGGCTGACCAACCGCACTCAATATGTAATCCTCAATGGAACTACATCTATATGGAGGGAAGTATGCAGTGGTGTACCCCAAGGCTCTTTTTTAGACCCAGTACTCTTCAACATATTCATCAATGATTTGGATGAGGAGATAGATGGGGAACTCATCAAGTTTGCAGACGACACCAAGCTAGCAAGAATAGTCAACACTCCAGAAGATAGGCTTAAGATGCAGAAGGATCTTGACAGACTTGAACATAGGGCGTTATCTAACAAAATGAAATTCAATGGTGAAAAAAGTAAGGTTCTGTATTTAGGCAAGAAAAACAAAATGCACATGTACAGTGGTATGTGGTACCTTGCTCAACATTAGTAACTGTGAGAGGGATCTTGCTATCCTAGCGGACAGCCATTTAAATATGAGCCAGCAGTGTGCAACAGCTGCCAAAAAAGCCAACAGTTTTAGGCTGCATAAACGGGGGTGGGGTGGGATAGAATCAAGATCACGTGAAGTGTTAATACCATTTTATAATGCTTTGGTAAGGCCACACTTGGAATACTGCATCCAGTTTTGGTCACCATGATGTAAAAAAGAGACTCTAGAAAGAGTGCAGAGAAGAGCAACAAAGATGATTAGGGGACTGGAGGCTAAAACATATTAAGAATGGTTGCAGGAACTGTGTATGTCTAGTTTGATGAAAAGAAGGACTAGGGGTGACATGATAGCAGTGTTCCAATATCTCAGGAACGGCCACAAAGAAGAGGGGGTCAAGCTATTCTCCAAAGCACCTGAGGGTAGGACAAGGAGCAATGGGTGGAAACTAATCAAGGAGAGAAGCAACTTACAACTAAGGAGAAATTTTCTGACAGTTAGAACAATTAATCAGTGGAACAACTTTCCTCCAGAAGTTGTGAATGCTCCAACACTGTGGGAGAGCATCATTTATTTTTCTAATTATATAACCACTTTGGTATCTCTGCATCAATAGATCTCCAGGCCAGATGACAAAACCATGTCTTCAGGTTCTTCTGGAGCCAGTCTAACTTCAGAATAATGATGTTCCAAAGAAAGGATGCTCTGGCAGAAAAAGCTCTTATCCTCCATCCTTTTAGATTATGTTGTGGATATCCTTTCTGCCAGATGTGATGGGATGTGTAGATGTAAACGGGGAGAAATTCATCAAGTAACCCAGGCCAATGCTTTATAGGATTTATAGTTCATTACTAGCACCTCACATTGAACCCAGAAGCAAACTAATCAGAAATGTAGCTCACAGAGCAGAGTATAATGTGGCTGATTCCTATTGCACGTGGCTGGCTGCACTGCCTCATTTTGTATCAGTTGAAGCTTCTGAACACAATTCAAGGGCAAACCTTTGTAGAGCACATTACAGTAATCCATGCAGGTATGCAAGGCATTAGTGACTTATGTAGTGCCTCCATACCCAGAAATTGTTTCCTCTGGTGCACAACCTGAAATTGCTCAAAAGCCTTCCTAGCCATAAGTACTACCTTTTCTTTTGTGAGAGCAATTGTGAGATAAAAAGGATCGTCAAATTGAGAACTAGGTTTGTCTGGAGCAGTGCCACCTCATTCAGAAGTAGAGATGGTGAATTCTCAGAAACTAGTGGCCCTAAAGCTAATATGACTTTTTCCAGCAGTTTCATGGAGTTCTTAAACATAAGCGTGGCATCATGTAAATCTTGTGGCATCATGCAAAGTAGGGGTTGAGACCTCTCACTCCAGATCAACACTGACTGGAGCTGGCTGCAAATGAATGAACAGCGCTTTACAATATGGATATTGTGGATAGAAATAATAAACTGACCTTAGGATTGGTTGGAATATAGTTTTCCACTGGAATATAATTTTTGAATATATGGTTAATAATCAAATGACAGTAAAGTAACTATTGAGTATAGACTTGCAGCAGAATGTTGATGAAACAAGGAATTTGGACTCCATATTGCTATATTAAGGAATATACAAACATAAAATATCAGTTTTCTTTTTTACTTGTATTAATTCCAACTTGAGAATTACTGCAATGTAAGGTGCAAAAAAGCAGTTCACCAAAGAGCAAAGTTGAGACATTCTCTAGTGAAATAGGATGTTTAGGCCTTGGCCTTGGCCGTGCCTTCTTCATCCCAGCTACCCGCTTCAGCTTATTTACAGCCAGCTTTCCTCCTCTCCAGCCATTTTCCATGGCCAATGGGCTCCAGGCCCTCTAACCCTTGCCCTTTGTCCCTGCCCATTAGCCCAGAGAGCGTTTGACCCGGGCCTTTGGCTGCATGGGACAAATAGCCCCTAACCAATCAGATGGTGGGCAGCAGCAATGGCGCTGGGGAGGTAATCAAGGGGACTGTTGGGGAGTGGGCAGCGTGCAATACAATCTGTAGCAGGCTGGGGGAGAGAGCAAGAACTGTGGTGGCACATAGCTGCTGGCATTGGGAGGGAACGTGATGGTGCACGGCTTCCCATTTTGACCACCATCCATTGCTTCTGCCCCTGGACTCCAGCCTAACACTGAACAGGCGTGCCATCACCTTTCCCCCAATGCCAGCAGTGTATGATGTCACCTTCCCCCAATGCCAACAACCACACGTGTCACTGCAGCTGTCTCCCCCAGCTACTAATGATTGTATTGCATGCTGCCTCTCCATGGTCCCTTCAGTCACCGCTCCCAGTGCCATTTCTGCTGCCCACCACCTAACTGGCTGAGAGCTATTTGTCCTGTGCAACCAAAGGCCTGGGTGAATGAGCAGGGAGGAAGGGGTGAAGGGCCAGGGGCCCATTGGTCATGGAGAACAGCCTGGGCAGGGCCATTGGAGAAAGAAAGCTGTGTATGAATTGGCTGAAGCGGGTGGCTGGGGATGAAGGGGGCACAGCCAAGGGTGGTACCTAAACATCCTAGATCCTTCTATAGAACTGCCATTCTTATGTACCTCATAAATTATTAAACATATGGCAAATAATCAAATATATGGGAAGAAGTAATTTAATGAAAATCCATTGTTATGATTTGTCTATTTCACTTTTTATTACTACTTGCATCAGGGCTCTGGCTCCCAACATATCAATCAAGTGTATTTTTAAAAAAACACCAAAGTTCTATATCACTCCTAAAACAAACAAAAGCCTCATGAAAAGAAAAATAAAATTATTTCACTTCTTAAGACTATACTTCATTCACATGATAAGTCTCAGCATTTTATTTTCTAACTAATATGATAGTTTTAAGAGCCATGATAATATGGCTGCTTCTCTAGAAATAAATCTTGATGTTTCCTTTCTATTCCTCTCTAACTCTCCATCATATTAATAGCCCCTAGATGTAAGGGTATATGTAGGATTATTTTCATGTTATAGCATTATGTTCCTTGATATATGAAACCCAAACTTTAAGTTCCACAAATTAAAAAGCAATTTCCTCATGATCAATTAATAGATCTTGAGCAAGGGAGGCAATATTGATCCATAATTTATTCCAGGGGTGGGCTTCAAAATTTTTAGCAATTTGTTCTCTGCCTGGTTGCTGGGTGGGCATGACCATGGTAAGTGTGGCTGACCTCCTGCACCACACCGGGGGGGGGGGGGGCGTTTTTGCCCTCCCTGGGCTCCAGAGGCTTTCCTTAAACCTCTGGGAGGGTGAAAATTGCTTCCCCAGGCTCTGGAGGCTCTCTGGAAGCTGGAAATGGGCCCATTTCTGACCTTCCGCGAGGCCTGTTTTTTGCCCTCCCTGAGCCTCCCCGCCCTGCACTTTACCTGCATCCAAAACGGGCCGCGTGGGGATTCCTGGGAGGGGAGGGGTAGGGTGGGCAGGGGCAGCCAGGAGTGGGATTTGGGGGTTCTCCGAACTGTGCAGAATCTTAGCTAGAGGATCTCCTGAACCACTGTGAACCCCCAGCAGCTCACCCCTGATTTATCCCCAACAACATTTTCTAGAGCATTCAAAGCTCAAACTCTTGAATACATTTTTGAAAGGCACACATTTGTTATTGCTGAACACAAAATTACTCCAAATTTCTCTTACTAGACCCATGTCTATATATTGCATTGATTCATCAAATGTACTGAAATTAAAACATGTTTATATCTGCAACTTAGAGTTTTACTGCATTAAAATGTCTAGAAATAATGAATTTTATTTCAGTTTGCCAGATTCTCAGTTGAGAGCATTAGGCCCTATGAATAATTGGGATGAACCCCCCACTCCCACTAAAATGAAATTGAAAAAGCTGGGTTTACAGAAGGGAAGTGAGTTGACCTCATAAACAAATATAGCTAATGTTGAAATTCTTTGTTGTAAACTAGGTAAAAAATGTTATGAAAAGCATCATGGCTGGACTGCAACAAACAAACAGTGAAAAGATCTTGTTAAGCTGGGTTCGTCAATCAACTCAGAACTATCCACAGGTCAATGTTTTTGATTTCACCAATAGCTGGTCTGATGGTTTGGCTTTCAATGCACTCATACACAGTCACAGGTAGGAAAATTATTATAAATTCACTAATAAATAAGCATTTTTTCTTATGACTGTCTGTCTCTGTCTCTTTTTGTCCCTTTTTGTGATGTGTATGTGGTGTGTATACACTGTTAAAACACAAAGTATCCAGCATAAATGCCCTGTTCATAACAAAAACTAATAAAAGCTTGATTTTTTAACAGCAGTTGCTGTACGACTGAATTGATTCACTTTTCTGGAAACTGAAATCCGATCATTTAGTACAAAATACACAGTCCCCGATGGAGTTTACCTGTGTGGATTATAGTTAGCGAAGAATTAGCTTCAGTCTGTAAGAAGGATGGGTATGTGTAGTTTCGGGATCCAAATATATGCATAAAACCTTTCAATAGAAAATATTAGTACATTTCTCCATGAATACCTTCAACAGCAGGGATCTTCAGGCTCCTACCCTTGGCTGTGCTTCCTTCTCCTTCAGGCTCCTGCCTCTGCCCATTTACCTCCAGCTTTCCTCCTCTGCTGGCCTTCCCCCAGTCATTCTCCTTGATTAATGGGCCTCTG